TAAGGTAACAATGTAATAAATGGTATTCATTACATTGTTAGCGTGATTAGGTTGTTGAGCGTGATTAAAAGATAAAATGAAGACAACATTGCTTGTTTGTGACGTCATAAGAGTTGAATATTAATTTCGTGTAGCTAAAATGGGATGGGACTCTGTTCCTAGTATTGACCTTAATCATTAATGTTTTAGATAGATAGGTAAAAACCTTTATTGTATATATATTTTTAACTTGCGTCCATCGAGTATATAACCAGAAATAGAGAGGAATGTCATTTAATTGGTTTGAAAACTTCTGCCAAATCATTATGGTGACAACTGCGCTCAGATTGGCCAGCTCGAATTCGAAACAATTGACGGAATTGACCAGCTTAATTAGAGCTTTGCTATAATTGATGAACATTGAAAAATGACAGGTATTCAATATTTAATTAACGATGAAATGTGATTCCGTATGTAATTAATTAGACGTGTTGCTGTTTTTCCCACGCCACAGAATGGAACTGCCCCTCAATGTTAGAGATATTATCTTTATTACAATAAACACAGAACATTTTTGGTATGTACCATTGACTTACAATTTTATGGACGTCGGGTCCGCGCTAAAAAGTGTCCGGACTTGTAAGGCGCTAAAATCGTATACAGAGCGCCAAACTCCGCTTTAGCCTTCATTTGTTCTACTGACAGCGCGATACTGTGATGACATAACAATTTAAATTTCGAATAGGTTGACTTGGGACATTTTTTTCGTGGTTTTTGTATTAGACCCGTCGTCCATTTATTTGTAAGTCAATGGTATGTACGCAGACGTACACACAGGTCAGTTGTCGGCGCTGTACTATTTCAACTTTCTAATTAGTGATTTCAGCGCAAACGAGAGTTAATATTTAAAAGTGATATAAGACCCATTTGCCTGATGAGTTGCCAGGGATGGATGGCTCTTATTTCGTGTCTATTGCTGGTTATATACTCGATGCTTGCATCATACAAATGCCAATAGAATAAATGGATTAAAAATGGAATGTAAACTAAACGATGTCAACCGTGACCATGGGACCTGTAAAGAGCCCGAAACGTCAGTTTGGTTGAAAAAACAAATATACGCGATTTAAATCCGGAAAAATAGTTTCATTTCCTACATAATTTTAAGTTTTCGTTGTTCTATCTGATACTTTTTAGATCTATACTCCGACGAGTTCCACCCCCCGTCATGCACAGATTTATTGAATAGAATAGAATAGAAATCTTTTATTACTATGCCACAACAAAAATATACACAGTAATAAAATGAAGATAAAAAAATAGATGAAGCTACATTAAAACAAAAAATTAAAATAAAAAGGAATAAAAATAAAATCATACACAATAACAAAGCAAACATGAAATATTTAACACAATTAGATTAAGTGTCATGTGCGTGGCTGTGGCGTATGTAACAGGATCCCACTCAGCTATTGTCATCACCGAGAAAAGGCTGTGACGCTGATTTTCAGTGGGCCCTAAAACCGAGTGAGTACCGGACATGTGTGTTGCGAATATACGAGAAAACTTAAATAAATTACATAAATATTTCTATAATATAGTGTGTTGTGTTCAGTTATATGTATAGAATACTTAAATAATTATTTTGATACATATATAAAGTGATAAGTGTATGTAATGTAGTGTCCAACATTTACAACAAACAAAATAGAACTTATTTAGTTTAAAATGAATTTTTATTGCCTTATTTCTATACGGCGATCTATTCAAAAATATATTTATTTTTGTATGAAAGTAAAATCTGTCCAATTAATTTATTAATACAAAGATCGAACGCTTAGAAAAAATTCCTTCGATCCGGCCGGATTCGAACCGACGTCATCTCCGCAACGAACCAGCGGACCTCACGAATTTTTCTATGCGCTTGTTGTCGGATCTTTGCATTTGGTTTTCAACGACCTCTTAGCCGTAGCGCCGTCTACGAGAAATATGATGGTACCACTAACGCCCTCCTGCAGCCGCCCCGCCGACGCCGGGCACGCCGGCGCAGCGCCCGGCGCCCGTGCACATGGCCGACGGCTTCGAGCTGCTGAACTCCGACTCGGACGACGAGGCCCCGCCGGCGCCCAAAGTGGTGCCCGCCTGGTCCACGTCGCGCGCCCGCAAGGAGGCGCTGCTGCTGCAGGCGGGCGTGGCCGCGGCGCACGTGGACCGGCTGTTCGGCCTGCGCCGCCACAACCCCGACCTGCGCGACATCTTCCCCAGCATCGCGCGGCACCGCCTGCAGCGCACGTCGTCGGCCGTCTGGCGCACGCCGCCGCGCCTGCCGCCGCGGCCCCCGCTGCCCGCGCTGCTCGACTGACGGTCGGTCCTGAAGTCCGTTCCAGTCCATTTTGAACAAACAGTAAACAAAACTGTTTGATTCAAATTCTAATGCGACCACTCCATAAATCGAATAAGTTTTCGAAGGTTTCGACTTGATATCTCGTCATGAATAGCATCCTAAAATCGTATTTGAAAAATCATTGACTTTTACTAATAAATGGACGACGGGTCTAATACAAAAACCACGAAAAAAATGTCCCAAGTCAACCCATTTAAACGTAGTGACATGTAAAGGAATATGAAAAAGCTAACACGTTGAATTTAAATTGTAATGTCATCGCAGTACTGTCTAATTTTGCTTCCTTCGCTGTCAGTCGAACAAACGAAGACTAGAGCGTGAATGACGCTCTGTATACGATTTTAACGCCCTATAAGTTCGGACACTTTTTAGCGCGGACCCGACGTCCATATAATAGTAAGTCAATGTGAAAAATGCACAAAGGTGGTAATTTTTCAACTTTGCAACTATGATTTGTCTATGGTTGCATAGTGCTGTGCGAAAAAAACATTCGGTTCTTTCAATTAAAGTTTTTGTAATCGATTAGTAAATCGAAAATTTCAATCGCAATCGAACGTATATCTAAGTGCAAGGATTAGAAGGACGATTTAAAATTAAGATATCGGAAATTTTAAATATGCTATATAGTTATGTAAGGAAAACCGCTAGTAAGACTCAATTGAACTAATCTGTTCACCCAATTAACTAATCGATTTGTATTTGACGTTACAATTGGCCACCACTAAACTGTCTGTGGTCGGGTCAATGACTTGCTTGTTTACTTTTCGTTCAAAATGGATTGAAACGAAATATGCTAAGGTCGTAACTCGCGCAAAGTCGTACGCCCGTAACGGTTGCGACGCCACTCGGAGCTTCAAATCGCAAATATCTGAAGGGCACTGCCCCTGCGCTCGTCATCCTGAAAAAGTTGACAAGTCCCATGTGCTTGTAGTTTCTCCAGCAACCTTCCTCTTCGAAAATAGATATCATGGCAACACTTCCCCGGACGAACTCTTTAAAAAAGAAATCTAGTATTAATGCTATTGACCCCTGCCTCGATACAGTAGGATACGAGATAGAGATATGTAAAAGAAATGACAAATATAACGGGCTCGGCTCCAATCGACTTCTACCGCCACCCGCACATCAAACCGCGCGACCGTTGCACGTGCCGTACTTTTCCCTCTGCTTGGACCATTTGAACATTTCTGACCTACTAAACTCTGTTCAACCATTTATGTTACTTTTAACAGCTCGAATTATAATCAATTAGTGATGTCCTAATGCGTTTCCAATTCTATTTTTTTATATCAATCGATTTTATTTCAATTAATAATTAATGTTAATAAGGATTCAAGCGATGATTCCCGCTCATATGGAGAACAATCCGACGATTCATTATAATAAACAATAAGAATTTATTATTTATAATGTACTTCATTACATTATAGTTTATTGTACAGGTACCAAAATTTATCAATTTGAACAACACCCGTTACATAATTTGTTGGCTCGATAAATATCAGAGCTGAAGAGCATTTTTTTTGTCTATGGTTGTATGTCAATAATTACGGAACCTCAGAGGCATGCATATGTCAAAAATTAAATAAATTTTATTATATTTTTATTTCAGGATTTTTCATTCTTCATCTGGTTCGGTGATCGAGTCGCAGGCGGCACTATGTAAATATATTATATTTTGTTAATAATATATCGATAACGTAATCACGAGTACTATCATTTCAATTAATATGTTTATAGAGCTGACAAGTTAATAATTAACCCTACCCATGGTGGCGTTAGTAACCCTTTTGACATTGTTCGTGTTATCGGTAAGATAAAATTAGTTCTTCGAATTTCCGCATCATGGCGAGGGTCCGTATTATCTTGTCAGTCCATTATTTCTTCTTTTTCGTTTGAAAGCATATTATGTACTTACGTATCTTTGAATTGTCATTTTTAACCTTTTATCATGGTAAATAAGGTATAATATTACTTAGACAATGATCTAGAAAATACATATTATGTATTAAGTTGTTAAAAATCCACTAATTCAATTACAACTCCTCCATGTTAAGTGGACTACAATTTGTAGAAGTCGGAATATTGTTGCCAATTACCGTAAAACATAGTGTAATATAATTAATATAAAATAGCTTTTAACACAACCATAAAAAATTTTTTTCTTCAATCGAAGAGAGAGAGAATGTTATCTGAAACCATATAGATGTTACAAAAATCGTGTCTCGTTTTATTATAGCAGAACAATAATGTTGCCAGACAATCACATTAATTAGGCAATTGGTCTCAAACAAGGAAACTACTAGTACCATTGTAGATTAAGTTCCCAAAGTTATCCCACCGGGAATTGAGCCCAGTCATTTAGTACCACAGTCCAGAGGTCGTCAAAATGCTCGGTACTGACACCATCGAGTATATAACCAGAAATAGAGACGAAATGTCATTTGCCAAATCATTACTGTGACAACTGCGTTCCGATTGGCCAGCCTGAATTCGAAACAATTGACGGGTGTCGTCAATTGTTTCACTTCAAATCGACCAGTTTAACTTGAGCTTTGCTATAATGGACGAAAATTGCAAAATTACATAAAATATATAATATTTAATTACCGATGAAATTTGATTCCGTTTGTTTTGTAATTAGATGTTTTGCTGTTTTTCCCACACCACCGAATGGAACAGCTCCCATTGTTAGAGATATTATCTTTATTACAATAAATACAGAATATTTTTGGAATATACGGACGTACACACGGTCAGTTGTTCGCTATTTCATTCCTGTTGTTGTACTATTTCAGTTTTCTAATTAAAGAAAGAAAGAAAGAAAAATAGTTTATTTGGTAACCATAATACAAATAGAACGTAAAAACAAAAATTAAAATAACCTTATTATAACATTTACTTAAAATAAAACAGTATTACATTTAAAATGGTACCTAAAAGGTCTCCACTCAGCTTATTTGTAACGAGACGTAGGGAAACATCTCGTTACGCTGATTTTCAGTGAAGCCAACAATTTACAGTTAAACAAAAATAAAGTGGCTTCGACCATGTAAAAAGAAAAATAAAGAAGAATTTAATTTAAATATGAAAATTCTATTTAAAAAAGGAGAAACTGCGAGTACGTGTAGAGTCTGTGTGAGCGTGTATTGTGTGATCACTGTGTTACCATGTATGTGTAGTTGTGATATTAGTGTCAGTAGTGGAATGTCACAATCGCACCGCACGACTGCCAGTGCTGTTGGACACCTGGCTAGATAATAAAAATTTCTTAAAAGATAATTTGAAGGATGCAACAGATTTTTTTTTTTTATTTAATTAGTGATTTCCGCGCATACGAGAGTTGATGTATAAAAGTGATACAAGGCCCATTTACCTGACGAGTTGCCAGGGATTGCTGGCTCTTATTTCGTCTCTATTTCTGGTTATGTACTCGATGACTGACACAGTATAATACGACAAGTAGTCTAACTTCATAGAAACGTAGCAGCGCGGCTTGTACGGACTAGGGATGCATGATTTTTTGCTTCGTATCGATTTTTCGGATCGTAATGGATCATCTCTCTGAATCGGTCTTACAAAAATCGTTTCGAAATAAATTTTGATAAAAAATCATTGACTTACAAATAAATGGACGACGGGTGTAATACAAAACCCACGAAAAAAATGTCCCAAGTCAACCTATTCGAAATTTAAATTGTAATGTCATCGCAGTATCGCGCTGTCAGTAGAACAAATGAAGACTAAAGCGGAGTTTGGCGCTCTGTATACGATTTTAGCGCCTTACAAGTGCGGACACTTTTTAGCGCGGACCCGACGTCCATATAATTGTAAATCAATGTAAAAAATAATAATTTTGGCACTTTTTGAATTCAGTCAATTATCACTTTCATTTAGAGTGATATTAGCCAATTTCTAATTGAGAAGAGAAAGAGGAAGCCCAAGAATGGCAAATAGTGAACAAATAATAAAGAAGATCAAAGTGAACAGCTATAAAGCTAGTCAAAGAACTGACTATGAATCGTGAGAACTGGCGAAGGCTACAGCGACAAGAGTCTGGCTCTGAAATAGTATCATGATACTTTATTATAGCGCGAGAGTACTGCGATGAACATCTTAATTTTTTACAAATTATGTTTACAAGCTACAGGTGCATCTGGAGTTAGAGTGCAAAAATAATAGATAGGTAGTGGTACTTGGTACTTGGTGCAACGGGCTGGTGTCCGCAACTCGACGTCAAGGCGTAGATAGGTAGTGATAGTCTTGTTTTATATCATCGTTGTCTTAATTAATTTAATTTAATTTAATAAATTTTTAATTTTCTGTTTATCATAATATTTTTTTGTTACAAGAAACGAAACTAAACCGTATACCGCTGCAATAAGGTCGCTTCTGTTTCCACGCTACTCGTAGTCGATAACCGTTCGTCGTTGTTCAGCTACTGACCGCTAGATGGCACATTGATTGAAATTTCAATATAAATGTCTTAACTTGCCATAATAGTTGTTGAACTTTCCACGATATGTCAACTGGGTAAAAATTATATTATATTAACGTCCAGAATTTGTTGCTTCTTTTTAAATTGGAAACTACGACCAATCATTACCAAGATTAGCGTTCCAAATTGTGAATGTTGAATTGTGAATTGTGAATGGATCATATGCCTCTTAATCGATCCACAAATCGGTTCGTTCGCTCTTGAATCGATCTCACAAAAATATCGTTTCAAAATTTGTAATAATTAAACACCATTATTACAAGATTTAATTGCCATAATATTTTTTTTCTTTTGTCTGATGCCAATTACATTTAACTAAACTTTTGATAATGTCCAAAGCATAGCTTCCCTCTTTATTTTCCGTTTCTAAACCTGAAGAAATCGTTAATAATACGATCTAAATGATTCGCTTTGATTTTGAATCGATTCACTTAAAAATCGCATTTTAAATTACACCCAAACTCACGAGAGAAATAAATGTAGGCCGTACACATATCTCTCCCGGCCTGGGAATCGCACCCAGGACCTCTGCGTGGCAGTCCAGCATGGTAACCGTTCGGCCACAGAGGCAGTTGAAAAAAATCTAATCGTAATGTGCCTAGTATGAATTTTGAACGCAGAAAGAATGAAATAATTATTCCATAAAGAAACAACACAGCACATATACATTTAACAATTACGAAACATGATTATAACATGGAAAAAAGTCGAAATGAAAAAGGGGGAAAAAATGTTCGCCACAGCGGTTCTGGTAGTAATCCAGGGCTTAGGCACCTACATTGTTTTTTTTTCTTCCGTTATGACAAGCCTACGCACTGAGCGAACAGACGGGAGTTGACCTGCTTGTCGTATTATATATAGTATGGTACTACAGTATCATCAAGAGCGATTTGACTTATTAAGCCACGTTGCGGTATAACTATACATTCCTCCATATTTAGTAGAAGGCGTGCCCTCTGACACTGAATTGGGGATGTCGCCCAGTTGAAGAACTGATTAGGCGGCTTTACGTTACGCCACACAAAACCCTACAACCACTGTATTTACTATTTATCAAAAGTCTGAGCTGAAAAGACCATTGCCACGGCACTAATTCTTGTTCTATACAATTAGCAGGTCCACTTATAATAATAAGTGCCAAACGACCATACCCATTACCTGGTCTAAAACAAGGGAATTTCCAGTACCAAGGCAGTGTCAAAACACCCGACTATAACCAATTTAGAAAAGGTCATTTCCCAAATTGATACTCGAAATTGGGAATCGAACTTATGAAATTAATGAAAACTTTATATGGACAGAAAGCAATCAACTTATATAACTATATTTAACATTGTGCAAATAAAAGAATTGCGCGGGTTTGCGCGAAGAAAAAGTAGTTTTAATGACGTCACGAATGTGTAGTCGCAAAATGTGACGTACACAATATTGGATTTTTAGAATAATTTTTATTATTAAGACTGTTATGGATTTTGAGTAAGTTAGAATAAAAATTTGCATCAAGTATACTTTGATTTTATTTTTCCTAACTTCCCATTCAACGACATCCTATTTATTAATAATAATAATAGTTTTTTTTATAGGAAATGAAACTATTTTTCCGGTTTTAATTCGCGTATATTTGTTTTTTCAAACAAACCAACGTTTCAGTGGGCAATTTAAATCCGGAAAAATGGTTTCATTTCCTATGTGTAACAATGGCGAAAACCTAAGAACTCGATAATAATTTTTTTTTATTCAAGACAACATGTTCACTTGTTTATACAGAAACCTTAGGTACTATGTTAGTTTACAGTTCAATATTTATAACTGTAATGAAATAAAATACAATCGAAATTTAAAAAAAAATAACTTCACTGAAAACTGTAATATTATAAAATAAAAAAAAATTATATGAAATAAAAGAAAATAGAATAAAAATTGCATTCGCCTGTACGCGTAATCGCGACTGGTTATTCGAATGCACATTTCGCAGCTTGCTTTTGAGCGGTGATCTCTCAATTCAACTTTTATTATTTTCTTTTAGGATTTCGTGTTTAGTTATTGTTAATGCTAGTGAGAGTTGTACAATATGAATAAATAAACAAGAGCACAGAGTGTGCGTCACTATCGACAAACAATTACGCTAACTTGATACCAAATTATTCAGCTACTTTCATTGACTTACAATTATATGGACGTCGGGTCCGCGCTAAAAAGTGTCCGAACTTATAGGGCGTTAAAATCGTATACAGAGCGTCATTCACGCTCTAGTCTTCGTTTGTTCGACTGACTGTCGCAGGTGCCGCGTACGTGGAGATTTTTTCCTGTCGAATGACGTCGCGCGTCGACGGCGGCGCCTGTGATTCGGCAGGTCTTCCCTTCAATATATCTTCCTTCGTACGTGTGGCGGCAGTGTAGTCTTCCTGCTCTTCTCTTCTCAACCCAATAGTGCTTGTGCGAATCCACTCCGATGTGCGTTCTTCGCGGATCGTGGCTTCCTCCGGTTCGTCTTCGTCCGATTCCTCTTGCATTGCCGCGATCTTTGCAGATATTAAATCGATTTTCAGCTTCAATAATTCTTGTTGCGCTTCCGCTAGTTGCCTACGACGACTGTTCGAAGAACCGGATCGAAAGGATCGAACAGATTTAGGAGAGTACATTCTCCGTGGTGCTTCACTTGTAGTGGCGCCGGCTTCGGGTCTCTCTACTAGTTGGGAGACTGGCGAGGTGGCAGTCGGCGCGGCATCGATTTGTCTGATCGTTGCGTCGGTTTCCACAGTTGCACCGGTTGTACGTGTGGCGTACGTGGAGCGCGTGTGTTCTGAAGTCGTAGCAGTCTTTTCGGTCCCCGTGATCGTGTCGGTGCCCGTCGAACAGGTTGGAGCAGTGGACGAGGATTCTTGGGTATTCACGGGGTATGATTTTGCGCTTCTGGTAACTGGCATTGTTCTTTCTTGATGTAATCCGGCTGCTGAAGGACCAGAAAATGTGGGGGCGGATTAAGAGAAAAACGCCTGGTTGTAAATTGAGCTTCTTGATCTTGGTTTTGCTTGGATCGCGGTGAGATTTGGAACGCCTTCGGATTCTTGTGCAGTCAGTTTTGGAATGTCGTTCCGCTCCCAACGCTCCGCCTTTTATATCATCGCTGGCCCGCCGTGCCGCTCGCATTCTATTCAAGTGTGCGAGCGGGACGGCACCAACGCAGGAGCGGGACGGGAGAACCCTACAGACTCCAAGCAAAACCCCTCTCTCCCTCTCGTTTATTAACCAAAATCTTACACGAAATTAACAATAATAAATTACAATAATAAATTACAATATTATAAATCATATGGGCGCGAACACGTTTTCGTCCTGAACAAAGCCAATGGCTACTTTGAATAAAATTCATAGGGTATGATTCAAAATATAAATCAAAATATTTTAAGTATTTAATCAAAGTTCAAATATAGCTAAAATTTTGAATCAAACTCACGATTTTCACACATTATTTGATTTTTAATTCGGGACTAAATCACGTATAAAACGTATTTAATTACGTCGACGTTTCGGACGTATTGCAACGTCCATAGTCTCGAAGGGACTGAAGAGGCGGGTGTCAGCATCTAGCCGTGCTAGTTTTTCTAACTACCCGTATTTGATCTTCATTATTTATTTGTGGCACATACGAGGGCCACATACAAAATTTTGCACAACTCCTAAATAAAACTGTTTATAACGAAATTAATGTATATTAATTTTCAAAATATTCTCCATTACATTTTAAACACTTTTTCTTACGCTCAAACCATTTTTAAAACACAAAGTTAAAGTTAAGGAATAATTTATTCCATATGTACAATAAATTTACACTTGAAAACGTCACATTGCTACTACTGCTCGTTCACTGCGCTGACTTCCCTGAAAAGAACTAGCAACTCTAGGGATTGCTCTTTTCAAATAAACTTAAATGCTATGGACTACACTTTGAATTGGTTTGGACAAATTTGTGTGGATTCTAGAGCCATGTCGTCTTTCCATCTTTATCTAACACGTAGTCTTCTATTTTGTAATATCACTTTTCAATCAAAATATTTTTAATGTAGTTTTTAAACTTACGAAATGATAATCTTAATATATGCTCCGGAATCTTGTAAAAAAAAACATTCATCTGAGGGCACGTCATCAACGTGTTGTTAAAAGTCGCCACTGCCACTTCTTGGTCCGGAAATGCCAATCCCCTCATCAAATCTTTGATTTTTGGGAAATGAAAGAAGTCAGTGGTGCTAGATCTGGGCTGTTAGAAGGAAGAGTCACGAGCTCCACTTTTTCTATACGAGAATAGCAGTATCTCTTGTCGCTCTCGCGCAAGTCGCCCCCGTTCGTGCTAGGCCTTTGATGATGATTAAAATTAAAAACAAACATTTCTAACAATACCTTTATTTAGTAATACACCACTGTTCCCACATAACTTGATTTCGCACAGAAACAACACAAAAAATCGAACTAGTAAAACAACATCCTGCAAAAAGATGATAAAGCCAGTTTTGTATATATTTGCGTGTTTCTTTTACAGAATACCGTTAACACTAATTCGAGAATGTCGCATCATTGCACAGTTATCTATTGTTCTTTTTGTATTGGCAGTTACATAATCAAATAAATATGAAGTTTTTCGATTTTTTTTTGTTCTTCAAACTATTTTGTTTGGTGAAGTTTTTTTACCTATTTATATGTTGGACAGGAGAGGATAGCTTTTGATGTTAAGTCCACATTTAAAAAGGTAATTTGCTAAACAATTGTCTTGCTGTACTGTCTTCATTAAATAGTGTAATTCATTAAATATTAATCTAGCCGATATATCCACCTTTCATCATAATGGGGCCGATTTATAAATGTAAATTTCCAAAAACCATACACAACGCTTCGCAAAAAACTTCACCAGACTATTTCTTTAATTGAATTTAATCCAAAGCAGCAGCACCAGAGATGATTTCGATAAGTTCTCTGGTGATGACGGCTTGGCGGGTCCTGTTGAATGTCAGGGTTAGCTTGTCAATCATCTCTCCGGCGTTCTTGGAAGCGTTGTCCATGGCAGTCATGCGGGCAGATTGTTCGGAACAAGCTCCTTCTTTGAGTGCGTAGAAAAGCATAGAAGCCATGGAGAATTCCATGTAAGATTGAATGACGTCAGCGTCCAGAGAATCATAGGTTGCCATTTTTGGGGCACTCTGAAAATAAAAGCCACAATTTATCTTTCGTCTAACGAATTCTCAGAAGTTGGTTAGAAGCAGCATTGTTACTTTCTGTTTTATACTTTGTAATGCACAATGAGTACAATGTTTATGAGTATACAGATGGCTCTTTGTTTTGGAAGATGCCCTTGTGAGTTCATGTGTAACATTTTCAGGAACTCCCAAGAAAAAACAAGAGTGCAACCATTGACTTACAATTATATGGACGTCGGGTCCGCGCTAAAAAGTGTCCGAACTTGTAAGGCGTTAAAATCGTATACAGAGCGTCAAACTCCGCTTTAGTCTTCATTTGTTCGACTGACAGCGCGATATGCGATGACATTACAATTTAAATTCAACGTTTTAGCTTTTTCATATTCCTTTACATGTCACTACGTTTAAATAGGTTGACTTGGGACATTTTTTTCGTGGTTTTTGTATTAGACCCGTCGTCGTCCATTTATTTGTAAGTCAATGAGTGCAACAGTGTAATTTGAACTTCATTGGCACAACTGAGAGCTGTTCAAACTGAACTGCACTTGTGGTGATTGCAGTTCAAATGCAGTATGTCTGCATGTATTGGTTCCACCTCTATGTTGTGGATATTCCTAAGATTTGCATGAAGCATTACGCTTCCACATTTGTTTGGGGAAGGGCTATTGGGTGGAATTTCCTGCCTGCAGACTTGTTCCCTGAACATTATAACTTGCACCTTTTCAAGACGAGAGTGAATAGGCATTACAAAGGTATGCGTGCTCCAACATCAACCTCATCGCCACTTTCCGTCAGGTGAGATGGAGGTCAAAGGTGCACTTACATTTTTATATAAAAGAAAAACTTTACAGCTGTAAACTTACCTCAACAGCCTTACGGCTGAAAACGGGCAGATCGGACTGCTGGTAGGAGACTACAGATTTGAACTGATTGTAGAAAATTTTGCCTGAAGCGTACTCGTAGCCACACTCGAGCACAGCCGCGGCCAGCTTTGACGCGTCGCCAAACGACGGCGGCAGACGCCCGATCTGTCAACATGGCCGCACTGCTTCATCCTTTATGGTTAACATTGTGTCAAATATTCATTATATGTATCCTCACAGTGTTTCCCTTCATACCGCTGTCATATTTTTACAAAGCCACAACCTTTTGAAAGAACGAAATAAATTATTATTGACTAAGGCATATTATCCACCAATGTTATGATGTTTGTTATCGCTGAGTGATAATAAATCTTATAAGTTACTTAAGAGGAACCTGAAATTCAATAACAAACTTTTACCAGTCTTCAAGGACGGAACTGAAGGCTGAGTTTAAACACTTCTCAGCTTTGATGGATAACAGACCATAGCCAATGTTTATAATGCACAAATAGTAACCTCGTTAGCGACACAGATGATATGGTTCCGGTACAAGCGCTGCAGCACAGCTCTCGACTTGTCCCCAATGCACACCACCTTAATGTTCTCGGATCCGGGTTCATTGAGGCGGGTGCGAATCGCCTTCGCTACGCCCGTGTGGCACGCACCGCACAGCCCTAGCAACGAATAAAAGCACAGATTACACTTCTGATACTGTACTTGTACGGACAACCTGCAAATTATTTGTACGAAAATTAACACAGTGTACAGATTTTGTATAGCTGCACTGTAGTGATTCGAATGCCATCTACAAAATTTTGTTTTATGGCCATAACTCCTGATTGGAGCTGTATTAATATAATTTATAAAGCGCTAGTATTAATTTATAAAAGCCTGTCTATACAGCTGTCTTACACTATGCACATATTGTTTCGTAGACAAGAGAAAACCATAATGCGCAGGCCACACCGTGAACGAAGCTAAGGTAACTTGGCTTACACAGCTGGGGCTTTTCATACTTCGGTTCACACCGCGAACCAAGCTAACCGAACTAACTATCCCGCTAGCTATGTAAAATATGTCGCCCTTCTGCCGCCCTTCACCCCCGCACGTATCCATAGTCCTACGTATTTTCTTAGCTTCGCTTTTCATGCAACTACGTGAGCAAAGCTAAGTTAGCTGACATAGTTAGTTGCATGCGACTACGTGAGCTAAGTAAGCTAGATTAGTTTGTAATGTGGCCTGCACTTAATTGTGTGCTTCTATTTATTAGAATTCAGTTTACAGTAAAAGCGTAGATCTTATGTACGTGTTATCTTGTATTGCAGAATATAAACTATCTCAATAAATTCCAGTGATTGAAGTAACATATTAATTGAGGTGACCCTGCAGTAGGCACAAACAAACCCGTTAACATTACGTTAATGACCAGACAGGCATCCTGTGGTTCTCCCAAACTTCAAAACTTTTAGTCACTGAAATGATCATTTTTAATCTGTTATGTGATAATAATTGATTTATAATTTACTAACTCACCTCTGTCAGAGGTGACAGCAATGTACAACTCCTTGGGATCATCTTCGGGGGGTGCAACCTGTAACACCAATCACGGTGTCATAGATTAGTGCAGAACAAAAACAAAATGCTAAAATAAACAACCAATTAAAAATAAATAAACCAATGCAGCACAACTAATTAATGGAGTAGGTTCCTGAGGTAGCTGTGCAGTGCGGGAGGTGTGACATTTACATAACAGTAAAGAGATGTCGCGGTGCACGTGGGATAATTTCAACAAGATTTTCTGATGATATTCAATAATAATAACGCATCACTCAACATAGCCCTGCACTAGAGAAACAAATTACACCCGAACTCACGAGAGAAGTAAATGTAGGCCATTCAAATATTTCTCCCAGCCCGGGAATCGAAGCTGGAACCTCTGTGTGGCAGTCTGGCATGTTAACCATTCGGCCATGTAAGTAGTTATAGTCAAACAAGTTGAAGTGCATTTAGCACTTTTTTGACTTGTCTATTCATTTCAATTATCAATAATATAGTTCTTTTTTATTATCGTTTACATAAGAACAATTTGACTTATTTGGTATATACTTATTTCAACAACAATGTCAATTGAGCCTAAGTTGTTGAGATACACTGCCGGCCAAAAGTTTGAGACCCCTAGTAAAGCTCTTTGTCATCAGCAAAATATTTCAAAACTACTTTAGATAAATAACTAATTTGAACACCTGCACATTCTATTGTTATTAGAAAAATTCTATGAGTCATTCTTTTTGTAAATGTTTAAGTTATCATTATCATAAGGGTCTATTGTTTCAAAACATGAATGAGTGCCATGTTAGGCCCAGATGGTAGTCATTGTAATATTTGTTTTGGTAAAGGTTTTGTTTCGCGTTATCCGAAATTTATGACAATTTTGCTTCCTAAAACACATTTATTACCTGAGTTTTCATGGAGTTCATCTTTATCTTAGTCAAAGCTTGTCGTTGTTACAGTGAAGACATCTTAAAATGGGAAAAGTGCGCGAAATTAGCAGTGAAACTCGTTCTGTTATAGTTGTTTTACACAACGAAGGCAAATCAGAACGTGAGATTGCCACTCAACTGAAGTTGTCGAAGACTTGTGTTCATAACACAATAGTGCGATAGAAGGAGACTGGCATTAACAAGATGAAGAAGAGAGAAGGAAGGCCGAAAGCTACGACTTCTAGCGAGGAATAGACGTCTAACAGCACCAGAAATCCGCGCAGAAGTGAACAAATCTCGATCTGAACCTGTCATTGACCACAGTAAAAAGACGATTGAGGGATTTGTTGATAGCTGAAAATCAGTGCATTGCTTTTGGGCAACACCTGCACTGAGCTATGGCCTGTTTGGCTTGCTGCAGCACTCACAACTTGCTTTTTAATTAATTTGTAGATATATGTTGTTTATTGTGTATATTTATTTGATTTCATACCTTTTTGTTGTTTTGTATGTTGTGTTTTGCGTTTTTTTGTCTTCTTTTTTTTCGTTATTTGTTATTTCATATTATTGTGTGTGCTTGTGGAAAGTCAATAAACATATTCTATCTATCTATCTATCTAGAGGGTGCTAAGTTATTTGGTCCCGTCGCCGTTCGAAAACCGATACTAAGGCCACAAAACAAAAGGAAACGGAAGCAGTGGGCTCTTACCCACCGAAACTGGACCGAAGAAGACTGGACAGATGAATCCAAATTTGAAATATTTGGATCAGAATTTTTGTTCGACGTAGCGCTGAGGAAAAGATGATGTCAGACTGTGTGGTGCCAACAGTCAAGTATGGTGGTAGTTCCATTATGGTCAGAGGATGCTTCTCGAGCCATGGAACTGGAAATTTGGTACGAGTTGAAGGAATCATGAAAAAGGAGCAGTATAAACGAATACTACAGCAAAATGCCGTTCCATCTGGTTTAAGATTAATTGGAAATGGATTTTATTTTCAACAAGATAATGATCCAAAAAATAGTTCAAAATTATGCAGGGGTTATTTAGAACATAAAGAAACAGAAGGGGTGTTAAAAAATTAGGTGTGGCCCCCTCAGAGGCCGGTTCTTAAACCAATTGAGCTTTTGTGATAAGAGCTTGATGGAAATGTGTGCAGTTGGTGTCCCTCTTCGCAAGAAGACATGTGGAAGGCCAGACAAGAAAGCTGGAACAATATTTCACAAGAAACAATCAACAAATTGATTGCTCATATGCCGAGACCTGTGAAAAAAGCAATTATATGCAAGGAAAGGTTTTTTGACGAAAAATTGAAATATGAACGGCATTTGTAATGTAAATGTTGATATATCTTGATTTGTTTTGTTTTCTTCTTGATGTATGTGTATTAGTAGATAAGTATTTTAATTAATAATTAAATCTCTTGCTTTATACTTTGAGTTTTATTTCATTCTCCTTCTTTGATATAGGTGGTCTCAAATTTTTGGCCGGCAGTGTCTGTACTACATTCTCTTTGTTACATACCTCAGCCCTCTCATAAAATTGCACAGCACCCTCGCCATATGGCCGAGCGGCCTTCAGATCACGCTCTGCACGTGCATACCTGAAAAAATAGACATTAATTATTACCACATCCACAAATATGGACCCAAGACCATTAGGCATTGTCTAGAGGAAAGAAAGATTTAGATTGATCAGAAATTAATTGTTAAACCAAGGTAAATAGGTTAACCAAACAGATATTGCTATTACTTGAGGTGCTTTAACATGATCATTGCCAATCAAATGCGAATTGTCACCAAATGACCGATCACGCGTTATCGCGTTGACGTCGCGATCATGTTTTTAAGCGAAATAGCAGCCACCCCGCACAATTCTAATCTTCGGCTAGGTAATGAATGAGTTAAAGGCACTAGAGGCAGGTTTCTCAAATTGATTTGCAGTTTTTAAATAAATGCTTCAACATATTGCCTACCATGATCCCACCGATCTTTTTTTTACACCAAAACCATTGACTTACAATTATATGGACGTCGGGTCCGCGCTAAAAAGTGTCCGCACTTGTAAGGCGCTAAAATCGTATACAGAGCGCCAAACTCCGCTTTAGTCTAAATTTGTTCTACTGACAGCGCGATACTGCGATGACATTACAATTTATATTTCGAATAGGTTGACTTGGGACATTTTTTTCGTGGTTTTTGTATTAGACCCGTCGTCAAATTTAAATTGTAATGTCATCGCAGTATCGCGCTGTCAGTAGAACAAATGAAGACTAAAGCGGAGTGTCGCGCTCTGTATACGATTTTAGCGCCTTAAAAGTGCGGACACTTTTTAGCGCGGACCGGACGTCCATATAATTGTAAGTCAATGACCAAAACTCAATAATTTAGACTTGGAACCACCTACCATCTCAGACCGTCATTTGTTTCTTCGAAAATTAAATAGTTCTATAGTTAAAACTTTTAAAAATTGTTTCGCTTACTTGGCGGCTGACACCATCTTCATGGATTGGGTGATTTTCTGGATATTCTTCACGGACTTAAGTCGGAGCTGAATAGACTTCAAAGTAGCCATATTCCTGTTTTGTTGGTGGTTAACCACCGCCACCACCTGGTTGCACACCCCCGGTGTAAAACGACCCAACATCTTGACCACTCTGCAACCAAAACCCAAGAATCAAATACAAAAAATACAGGTTATGTCCAAGTTATGTAAGATTATACTGCTTCTTTTTTACACAATTTTTAAAACTATATTTGCAAAATAATATATTCACGCAGAAGAAATAGGTGATTTATATGTAGAATTAGAATAAAATACTAACTTTTATGGGCTTTTTTTTGTAAAATACACCAGCCGACGAAAAGTGTCGCTGGCGAGACGTCGTTCGGGGAGGCCAGCAAAATAATTACGTTAAAATGATCGCAATCACAACTTGTGAAAAGTGTTATTATGTCTATTAGCAGACCTAGGTCTAGCTGAGCCACTAGTAAGTAACTTAGAAGTTTCTTTGTATTTTATAAAATGAAATATTGCAGTTTTTGATTTAAATGCATAATCGAATTATTAGTAAATTTTTTTTTTCATTTCTATTGCATTTTGAACGCACCAATTGTAGTGACGTTTTGGAAAGTTCCGCTATACGCAGAGAGTTATAATCCACCCTTATGTGTATGCCTATTAGAAAATACAAACGTAAGAATATAGATGTAATTGATTTTATGTATATAATTAAATTTAAATGAAATAAAACAAAATGTTTGTGTATTATTTGAAGTTTTTTTTATTTCAGTCTTTTGTTCAGTGTTTGCTTTTTTAACCAACTGTCAAACAGCGTGAATTGGAACATAGAAGAAACTTAACGTATAACTCGGCTAAATTGAATAAACGGCATTTACAGCACACTCCAATAAAGAATAAACACTTTCATATTTTGCATGATAAGGTCATTGTGAATCATTTAGGATTTTGTACATTTTCGTCTTTTGTTTTTGCTCATTTTTATAGCATTCCAGTCGTGCAATCAGTATTATCTACCATGCCGGCTCCAGAAAATACACTAAACAACAATCCCGAACAAATTCAAGAACAACCAGTGAGAGAATTGAGCCAAACCGACCTTATAAATAAAAAGTTACTAACTTCTCTTTTCAAAAGACTGGATGAAGGTGGAGATTCACAACTGGCGAAAATGCTAGAGGCTGATAATAACGGAGAAATAGCGGACGAAGAATGGAAGGACTAATTATTGTACTAAATTTGATAATCTAGTCTTAAGTACTTTAGTCTAAGTTTTGTAATAAATCTTTATACAGAACTTTGCTTTTATCCTTAACATGTTTTTAAACCCTGTTACCCTGCCGCCGTTAGTTGAAATGGCGCATGTGACATTTTTTCAAGAAAGCACTGCCATGATCAGTAAAGAAGGCCAATATGTCACCATAACATTTTTTTCCTACGTGGATACGGTATGAAGTTTAAAGAAAAGTAGATGGGAGTACACAATACCGTAAAATATGTAGATAGGCTATTTTCACTTAGGTTTTAAGCAAAAATACTACAATCACAAGTACCAAAAACTGTATATCTTTATCATAAGCATATCAGCCGGAAGACGTCCACTGCCTATCTATGTAGATATTCAAAAACTATGTTACGTATTAGGTACCAAAAACACTTAGGTTATATTATCATGTACATACGGGTTTTATGTTAATAAGCTATGTACACAAGTACTGAGTGATACAAGTGCCATTTAAGGTACTTACAAGTGCATAACTCTGCATTGTTGTTTACCGGAATACATATGGCTTTGAGTAGTGACAGCGGCCTTTTAATATTTTAAAAGTGTATTATCAAAATACCAACTTCACAGGATAAATAACAATTGTAAAAACTTCTATCTGTGCATCTGATGGATTTATTTTGAAGAAAACTTCTTTTTATAATTTAATGTGTGATAAAAATCATGGAAATAAAATAAAGTGTATTTTAATTTTAGATGAAATTTTAAATTTTTATTTTTAAAGTAGTTATGTTTTCCCTAAAAAAAAAACATTTAAATAGATAATCTTTTTTTGCATGAAAAAATTTAATGAAGATGGAAAATTGGAAATACAATATACTTTGATTTGCTATTTCACAACCCAACTGAAAGTTGAATCGGTTTATTCCCGGTAGTTCCACATGGAACAATTGTAAACCAATAGTTCCATGCATGGAGCTAGTGGCAATAAATTTAATGTTTTTATCTTTATTCCCATTAGATCATTCACATTAGCTGAGCGTGTGTTGAGCAGTTTTTCATGCAGTTAACTTTCACAATATCATGAACTTCCGCAAAGTAATAATATTCTTCTTAACATAAATAACATTTTCGCAAATGTACTGTGTCGCTATTGTAAGAACGTTAACCTCTTTAAACTTCTTTAAATCTCTCAAATACAATCTGGGGCCCAAATTATAAAACTTACGTAACCACACGTTTAGGGCGGGACAAAGATTCTATGAATATCGGCGGTATTACCCCAAAGCAAAATGCCGTATATCATTCTTTAAACTGAAATTAGCTGAAATACACCAATTTTTAGCTGTTTCGACGTCTCTGAAAGTATTCATTCATTTTTTAATCATTTTACACTGCAGAGCTGAGCCGTTTTGACAACTTACTTATATGTGGATCCCATTGCAATTTAGCAAATAAAATACCACTGTATCTACAAGGTTCAATTTTTCGTTTCTATGTTTGTGTCTGTCTGTCTAACATTGTAAATTTTAAACATTAATGTAAATTTCACACAATTTGTTTTTTTTCTCATTAAGGAGTAGGTTATTAATTGCAAACCAATGTACTACTATAGATATAGTATTGTTTACATCGTCGTAGGAACGTTGGTGCCTTTCAACTTTAAGTAAAAGGGAAGTGTCATCAGCAAACAATGCTATCGTGTTCTGCACCTTCTAGGAGGCAAGTCATTATCATTAATATAAACTAAAAACAAAAATGGACCTAGAATTGAACCTTGAGGGACGCCCTTGTGATTGGATGGGAGGATTGTACACCCTGATGATCTCGTACCGTTGACATCGATCATCTGTACCCTTACCACTTAAATACAATTTAAGTAGGTCAAGGACACGGCCCGCCACACCACAATGAAGTTTCCTGACCCTGCAGCTGCATGCAAGTGAGATGTCAACAACCTACTTAAGGACAATATAGCGAATAATAGCCTATAGCTATAGTCTCTGCAAATGTGTCGTATAATGGCTGAGTTATGTAAATAAATAAAACAACAAGTAAACAGTAACTTGCATAATATCTTTATTATGTACTACACGAGTTATAATGAGGAATGTTCTTATTTACATCGTTTTTTCTCATAACTCCAATAATAATAATTCATTGAACATTTTTATTGTATATAATACAGGCCATCCAGATGTCACTACACTACACAGCAGAAATAATACTGAAACCTTGTTGCGTTTCAAAACAAAACTGAAGCCAAAGCTTGTATTGCATTTTCTCCTAAATGGCTTATTTATTACATAACATACATAAATACAATTGTAATTTATAAATTTCCTATACAACCTGCATTAGAATTAGAAACACACAAAAATTAATCGAAAAGAAAAATAAACGTTGAATATAATGTCTAAAACTGTACATAGAAAAATATATCGGAAATCATTTGATTTTATTTTACAAGGAATTGGGGAGGAGGGGGTAGAAATATTAATTATTTATGTTGGGTAAATAAAATTGTACAAAGGAAATGATTTCAAATATTGCTGGCGGCCGTTTGACGGCCAGAGCGCGACGTAGCGGGTAACATTTACCTGGGAAACAAAATAAAATACAATTATTATAGGTATATCAAACTCAATATTGTTGATAATCGAACAAAGACAAATTCAATCGAACCGACTGGACTCAGAATCAGTGTCTTGCCACATGAGTAAAGAAAGGAACAGAGACAAATCTTCATACAACCGTGCTATAACAGGTACATTAATACAAGCTTGAGGCGCTATAATCACTAATATGTAGGTTTAACTATATTATGCATATAATTCAATGTTTATTGATTAAAATAAGACGGTTCATGTTATTTTTTTATTATTATTTCAGACGACAGGAGAGTAAAAGCAGTAGGGCGAGAAGACGTCCCTTTGAAACTAATTGATCATAGAACGAGGTCAAATTACATAATTAAACATTTTAATATGCCATGTGAGTGCTTTCAATTGGGTTATTTAAAAAGACTGATTTACCACTCGATTAACAGGCACAACACATTATTGCAAAACAAAAATTACAAAAAAAATAAAATTATAATAAGTCATCTATAATATGCTGTCATATCATAAAGTTTTATTTAATTTTATCTTCCTGTGCCAACCCTACCAAAATAGGTATAAATTTTGGACGCTCTTTAGAAGCTTTCTCTGTTCCTTTTCTCATGTGGTCTTACCTCAACAATTCTGTATTTTGATTGTTAAAGGATGTTAATTTAATTGCTATAGTCTGTCTTTTTTGAAGACGGAGTAATATGACAGTTCATAGCGCAAAAGTGTTGCCCGCTTGCGTGCAGCTAGTGATTGAAGTCGATAAATATTCTATTACTATCGACTGAACATTGGTCACGTTTAAGGAATAAATAGCCGAACTTGTTTCATTTGAATCATCCAATTACTGAGCACAAGTTCATTTGAATTGTCAATTTTGTAAGTTCATACATATAACATTGTATTTTTTTATATAAAATATAAGTGCGCATTTGACGTATTTAGAACTATGTTTATGGAAAACACAAAAGGGAACATATTTTAAAGCTTTTCATTTTAATAACTGCCTCCGTGGCCGAATGGTTACCATGCCGGACTGCCACGCAGAGGTCCCAGGTTCGATTCCCGGGCCGGGAGAAATATTTGTATGGCCTACATTTATTTCTCTTGTGAGTTTGGGTGTAATTTGTGGTTGTCTATGTGTGTGTCCATGGCACCCGCGACACAGGGTTTCCCTAGTGCGGGGGTATGTTGATTGTGAGCGTTACTAATTCAATATACATAATCAAATCCGGTTGTTCTTGTAAAAATGTACATAAATAAAAATTGATCTCAATACTAGTACGCCAACTGTCAAATTAAGAAAAAGAAAGCAATAACGCAATTAGTAATCATTAGAACCTCGCAACTCTCACAATTCAGTCATTTTTGGTGAAATTTTATCTTCTTTCTCAATCTATCGATAAAACTATCGACCACAACTACAGAACTATTTAAAATTGTATGAATACTGGCAACCCTTTTTTTTTTGACGGGGGGGAAATCTTTATAGATACCCCTGAGCCCAGGGAGACTCAGGGGTTATGTGGGGACTCTCCCTCCAGACTGGAGGGCCTACCCCACTAAAACCCCCCCGGGTACACCTCTGGCCGTCTTGAGTCGGCGCCATGGGGCCGGTGAACATTCACCACGACGCCGCCCGGAATACTGGCAACCCTACAAATGACATTTTAGTCCGTCTTCAAAAAAGACAAACTAAACTTTATATCTTATTTACTCAAAGAGATGTGCCAGTGTGTGTGCTGTTTTATATTTATTATTATTTATATTATTGACGATCATATAATAAGTAATATTGTGACATTGATTTTTTTTATAATATCAAGTGACGGGACGAACAAGTTATGCGCCTGATGGTAAGCTACATGCCTGTCCATAACAGTTGCAGTGCCATTCAGAGCTTTAAATCGCAAAGATCTGAGGGGCACTGCCACTGCGCCCGTCACGATGAGACTTAAGTTGACAAGTCCCATATGCCTGTAATTCCAACAGCACCCTTATCCTTCAAAACCGGAACACAGTAATGCTGACATTACTGCTTGGCGGTGGCAGTACGTCCCCAGACGAACTCTTTCACAAGGAGATGAACTAAATTATTCTATTAATTTTATACGAACCATATCCATCTGTAAATCAACTTCACACGAATAACGGTGTCTAGGAAGGCTGGTCTGGCAGGATACTTACCTAACAATAATTGTATGGCGTACTGAAGGTGTCACTTATGGTTTCGAGTCGACCATGTCGATGTTGATCTTGTAGAACACGTAAGGGTAGTACTCCGACTGGCCGAAGCCGAGGCCGGCCAATTCAGCGCTCTGTGAAGAATTTTTTTAACATTATAGCAGGTTAACCACTAATGTGTTATAATTATTAAATACAAAGATCGAACACAAAGAAAATATCTTTCGACCCGACAGGACTCAAACCTACGACCACGGGATTCCATCCCCATTGCTTTACCAAGTATAATATATTTTTGCAAGAGTTTTCGGCTTTCGACACCGTAGCGTAGTAAATAAAACAAACAAATAATACGTGTTAATATAGCGACACTAACGTCTGCTTGTGGTAACTGAAAAGTTACCGTCTGAGTGAGAAGGTTCATGAAATCTCTCACAGATGTCGCTACGGTATCGAAATCCGAAAACTCGTATATAACAGACACATAGAAGAAATTCGTCGACTTAGTAACTCGACCTGTAGCTTAGTTGGTAAAATAATGGGGACGGAATCCCGTGGTCGCATGTTTGAATCCTGTGTCGGCTTGAAGGATTTTTTCTTTCTATTATATCAAGGTAGAGCATTGAAAAAAAACAAATCTAGTCGAACCAGAGGCTTTTTCGCCAAACCTTTTGCCATAGCGCCACCTGTGAGAGGCCTATGAATTTTTTTTCCTTCATACAACATACAGGTACCTTTGTGCGTGTTTTTAAACAACATATATTTTCCGATCCCGATTTCACGTCGTTTACCGTTAACCGATCAGAAGTCCGAATTTAACATTTGCCCGAAATCACGTTTGCTCGAATTTTCATAATGCCGATTTATAAAGAAACCGTTATTCTTTCAAGGTGTTTTGGATGCTTATCACAAATAAAAAGATTAGTTTAGCTTCGTTTTATAATATTCCTAAAAAATGTTTTGCCGCGGAAAATTACTTTCGAGATTATGATTATTGAGATGGCTTTCATGTCATTATTCACAAGAGGGCTGCCTCACTCATGATGCGTGTGCCGTTGGTGCCATCAGGCTGGACTGCCCCTACCAACTACATTGGGTGCAATGACACTTGTGACAATGACAATTTTGTATTGTACTAACCATAGCACGTAAGAAACATTTACTGCATTACTAACATTACTAAGGATCGTGCCTTGGAATAAATAATTATATTCTATTCTATTATGAAAATTCGAGCAAATGTTACTTCGGATATATGTAATTTCAGACTTCTGATAGGTAACCATCACGCTGATGCCGATATTACGACCGGCGCATATGTGTAGTTCAGACATGTATAAAGAACGAATGAACGAATTGACGAAACAGATTTATAAAGAGCGAGTTAAATAATGTCGTATAATAAAAAATAAGTGTGGAAAAATAAGTGGAGTCAGTATATTGATTTATGCTTTTACGATTTTCACACATTATTTGATTTTTAATTCTGGACTTAATCACGTATAAAACATATTTTAATTACCTCGACGTTTCGGACGTATTGCAACATCCATAGCCTCGGAGGGACTGAAAAGCGGCTGTTAAGAACCGTCAGCTCAATAAATCTTCAATAACACACCACTGTATTGAGCTTCATAATCCCAAGAACCTTTCTACAGAACGTCGTCGCTATAGTAGAATCGTACGTGAAACTATTGAAATTAAAAAAAAACACCGTAATTTCAACCGAGAAGACGGTTTTAAGCTTTCATCGTCATGGGATCAAGTTATCAGCAAATGTAAGCGACATCAAGTGTCGCAAGTCGCCGGATGCCGTGAGTGTTGCGTGTCGGCCTTGTGACAACCCTAAAATAAACAAATAATGAAGATCAAGTGCGGGTAGTTAGAAAAACTCGCACGGCTAGAAGATGCTGACACCCGCCTCTTCAGTCCCTTCGAGACCATGGACATTGTAATAAAATATGTTTTATACGTGAAAGTCCCGAATTAAAAATCAAATGATGGAGCCAGTGTTGAAGGTTGGCGGTGGACTGACCTCCTGCTGGCCGTGGCTCTGCTGCGCCGAGTGGTCGAGGTGCGCGTACAGCTGCTGCAGCACGTCGCGCAGCTTCTTCACGGACTTGCGCGACGGCACCAGCACGGCCGCCTGGAAGTTCACCGGCAGCCCGTATCTGCCGAGCCAAGCAATTGTACTACCCTGGCTAGAACTTCGCTTTACTCTACCCTACTACTGCTGTCACCTTTGGGAAGTTTCTTCTCGTTAACATTTAGCCGCCTTCGTAAAGCAAGCCTGTATTTTAATCTGCTAATTATAATTTCAGGCATTATCATGAAGGCGCTCTTTTTAGTTCTGAACCAAAATTCTATTATCTTTGGTACTCGCCGCTGAGTTATAAAAATATGAGTTAAATAAAAGAACGTCATATTTTTGCTAATTAAAATATCAATTTAATAGGACGCTACTCAAACGCTATACTGCCTCGATTGGTTAAATCGGCCTAAAAGTAAATCTTTCTAAAAAAAGAATGGGTAACCTATCACAAATTCGAATTTATTTTTACCGAAATAACTGTTCGAATTTTCATTACCCCGAAAACCGAATTGTAACGAAACTGTCGTACTTTCAGGATATGTTGGATGTTTATCGCAAATACACGATTAGGCTCGATTAGGTTAGGTTAAATTAGATTTAAAAGAAAAAACATTTTCCTCTCAAAATTACTTTCGAGGTTATGAAAATTCGAGCAAACATTATTTCTGAAAAATGTCATTTCGGACTTCTGATAGGCAACCAAAAGAATGATTAGTTAAAATATATGCAGTACGTGGCCACTTCTTGGTTTTTTGTTTTGCAGTGTTTTTTTGGCTTTCGTCTAAATATATGAAGAGGCTGTATGGCGGTACCTTTGCCTACCCTATTAAATGGGTTAATATTTATTTTAAAAAAATTGCGACAACGTACCTTAATACGGACTCAACGAAAACACGGAGAGCTTTGACGTGAATCCAGGCGCAGAAGCACTCCGAGAAATTCACCTTCAACCATCGCACCAGAGGACCCTGCAATACACAACTGGAGTTAAAACTCCTTCAAATATATCGAGTTCTTAGGTTTTCGCGATTGTTACACATAGGAAATGAAACTATTTTTCCGGATTTAAATCGCGTATATTTGTTTTTCAAACAAACCGAGGTTTCGGGCCCTTTACAGGTCCCATGGTCACGGTTGACACTCAACCAATGGCAGGGTATTTAAAATTTAAATCCGGAAAAATAGTTTCATGTCCTATACTTCAAATATTTCATTTCTACGAAAAATATTACAATAATTTTTATTTAATTATTATTATTACAATTACACATAAAGAGAGTATTAAAATGCCATTAACGACATTAAAAAAACAACAAAATGCTGAATACATTGAGAGATTCTGATAATCGCAGTCACGAAAAACATCGAAGATAGAGAGGAAAACAAAAATGTAAAACAATTTAAGTCAGGTGATATGTCAAAGTAACGTGTACGAGTCTTTTCCCGCCTAACTGCACGTTTTCAATTTTTAGGGTTATTTTTAAGGTGAGTTACTACTGAATAGTATTTTGTTTTTATGACGTAACGAAACCCTTGTAAAAATAAATAAATAACGCACACACTCAACATAGCCCCCCACTAGGGAAACCCTGTGTCGCGGGTGACATGGACACATACATAGACAACCACAAATTACACCCAAACTCACGAGAGAAATAAATGTGGGCCATACAACTATTTCTACCGGCCCGGGAATCGAACCTGGGACCTTTGCGTGGCAGGCAGGCATGGGAACCGTTCGGCCACGGAGGCAGTTCGTTGTCTATGCTAAAGCTGTCTCACCAAAATGCATCGCCAAGATTGATTATTTAGTAAAAATATATCAATTTAAATAATAAACTTCTAAATCTTTCACTAAAATATGGTCCATATGAACATATAAATATTTTATATGGTGTTAAGTGACACAGTCCATAGCAGTTGCAGTGGCATTCAGAGCTTTAAGTCGCAATGATCTGACACTACCACTGCGCCTGTCGTCCTGAGACATAAGCTGGCAAGTTACAAATGCCTGTATTTTCGAATTCAGAATAACGTAATATTTCAGTCGAAATATTAGGCATAATAAAGATTATTAACCCGGCGTTTAAATCGGATTAAAATCCATTATCGCCCAAAATCGAGGGCAAAAACTATATACACCTAAATATGTATAATCACAAAATTTATTGCTTTGTGATCTAGACGATTATAATTTGCCTTTCTATAGAATCGCTTGAAGATTGCATTGAAACAGATACAAAAAATCGTTCGATCGTATAAACTAGAATCGATTTTCATAAAAATCGAATCGTAATTCTCTTTCCTTAATAGTGAGAATTCACAGGATTGCAACGTGGGTGGTAACCTATCATAAACGTGAATTTTTTTCCGAAATACCGTTTGTTCGAATTTTCATTACACCGAAAACCTAATTATAACGAAACCGTTGTTCTTTCAGGATATGTTGGATGTTTATCGCAAAGACACGATTAGGTTCGGTTAGGTTAAGTTAGGTTTAAAAACAAAACATTTTCCTTTCTAAATTACTTTCGAGGTTATGAAAATTCGAGCAAAAGTTATTTCTGGAAAATGTCATTTCGGACTATTGATACGTAACCATACCAAATTCAGTATTCGCTGTTTCTGCCCACGATTTTGGGCGGAAATGGGTTAAGGTCTTTGAATAAAAATCCGGCTAAAACTCGGGCGGGCTGATTGGGTTTTAACCCACTGCCCATCACTGATAGTAAGTAATATAAAATAGGTTATACTGTAGTAATAAAATCGCAGTATCCGTACAACAATTTGGAATTGCTAGTAACTGAAACTGTAACAATCCTATCATACGCATTACAATTTCTTAGATTTAAAAAAAAACAAATATATTCATAACGCTGCTGTTATATTTATCCATTTTTTATAATCTTTAAATAATAATCACTGTACACACAGCAGTGGTTATTATATTTATACTGGTATTTACAACTATTTATTTGTAAAAATGCCATTTGCAAATAAATGAAAACTTGTAGTTAGCAACATTTAAAAAAGAAGAGTAACCAGAAATACTCACAAACTGTTTCTTTTTGTCGGTAACCAATTTGGTGATCTCGTTCTTTCCCGCGGCGAGGTCCGCCTCGTTGTACGAGAACTCGCGCACCACGAACTTGCGTTCGCGGGCGTGCAGCTTGAACTCTTCCACCACCTGCATCATTTTTCATATTCTTTTAGAAATGTATATTTACATAATACGAAAAGACGAATAATAATAATATTTGCCCGATAACCACTCAGTTGCCTGGTCTCGAACTAAGGCATTCTATGAATACCAGAGCAACGGAATTCTGGGGCACTTCCCAGATTTTCCCAAATTTTTCCTGCCGGTAATCGAACCCCGGACATCGTATCCAGAGCCCACAGTGTAAATCGGTAGGCCATAGAGGTCGTCATTAATAAATTAATATTAGTTGAGGCTAACGATGAAGAAAAATCAACGTCATGAAACTTGCATATCGGTGGTAGTCTACATCCCTAGGAAAACGTGAGAAGTCCCCAACCCACATAACGAGGAAAAACAGCGTCAGTCTCCAGATTGGTATTAGGCCTTTTATTGTTTCATTGTTTTACTTTAAGTTTTTAATTAAAAGTAGCCCTACTTAAGACTTTGAAATTTTGTTAACTTGTTTATTTTTCCTTTTTTGTTAACTGTACAAGTTTTTGTGTGTTGTTATGTTAGTCATGAAGAAATATTTTTTTATTCTAATCTACATTGGGTCTAGCGTGATAACAGGAACCCAGTGGCCAGGAGTGAGACGTATAATATCCTAAGTTATTGTTGACGACAGAATTACTAATTTAGAATTAGGACACGCTCATAATTATTTTGGACAATTTGGGACTAAAGTAAATTGTGTGCCAATTGTCCATAATTATCGTGGTCTCAAATACATAATATTAAAAGCTAGAATTAATAATAAATAAACTTCAACCTCGTGAAACACAAAAACTTGCCCACGGAGAAAGCTCAGAATTAATTGGGAAATGTTCATAATACTGTAGAATATCATCAGAATATATTCATTGCAATCTTACCTTCTTGAAAAGAGTAACAGAAAACAACCCGTAATCATTATCCTGGTAGAGGAGCTGAGTGGAGCGCGGTACAATCATGTCGGTGATCTTCTCGTAGTTAGCGTTCCAATCGTTGAACATCGACCTCCGGGAATAGACCAATTTGATGGTTAGAATGCTTCAGGCAAAATTTAAAATTGACCAATCAGCACCCTGGGTTACACCGCGACATGTACTTGGGATCATGGGTGTTCTCGATTCGTGCCCTACTAACTCAGGGACAATGATTGGTCGAGAGTATGAGAGTGATAATAGACTCGCTGACCATAAAGAATAGGAATAAAAATAGAAGAAAATTAATTTGCTGCTCCGCGAACTCAGTGATGGTTAAATCGGGCGAAATTGCTGCGCTTGCGTTGAATATTTCTTTTATGCAGTTCATTTTCCCACTCTTCCTCCGCATAAAATTAATAAAATAAATAACACAAGCGCACATACAGTCACAAACCACCTTAAAAAATATACCCGACCCGTGTTTCTTCGCCCGAGTGTCGAGCAATCATCAACCCCTGAGGATGCCTCGTGGAGAGTCGAAACATTATTATTTTTAGTACAGTAAAGTAGTAACATCGAGTATATAACCAGATATAGAGACGAAATGTCATTAATTTGTTTAAAAACTGTTCTGCCGTATCATTACGGTGACAACTGCGCTTCGATTGGTCAGCCTGAATTCGAAACAATTGACGACACCCATTGACTTACAAATAAATGGACGACGGGTGTAATACAAAAACCACGAAAAAAATGTCCCAAGTCAACCTATTCGAAATTTAAATTGTAATGTCATCGCAGTATCGCGCTGTCAGTAGAACAAATGAAGACTAAAGCGGAGTTTGGCGCTCTGTATACGATTTTAGCGCCTTACAAGTGCGGACACTTTTTAGCGCGGACCCGACGTCCATATAATTGTAAGTCAATGACGACACCCGTCAATTGTTTCACTTCAAGTATACCAGTTTAACTTGATCTTTGTTATAATGGACGATAATTGAAAAATTGCATAATTTAATAACCGATGAAATGTGATTCCGTTTGTTTTGTAATCAGATGTTTTGATGTTTTTCCCACACCACCGAATGGAACAGCTACCATTGTTAGAGATATATAATAAAGGTATAGGTATATTACAATAAATACAGAATATCTTTGGAATATACGGAGACGTACACAGGTCAGTTGTTGGCGCTGTGTTATTTCAGCTGTCTAATTTGTGATTTCTGCGCCAACGAAAGTTGATATTTAAAAGTGATATCAGTGCCATTTGACGCAGTGTTGCCAGACTTTTGCGTTAATTCGCCAATTGATGTGTGTTAAGTAGTCGAAATTCGCCCAAGCCATAAAATCACTGGAAATAAAGGAAAACAATTCTACAATTCTGCCTGCTGCCGGAAATTGGGGAATATGAACTATCTTTTTTCCCCAATTCCCCATTCAAACCCCCAAATGAAATCCGCAATCAAGTTTGTTATTCCCCAGACATTTTATTAAGTCGCCTACAATCGCCTTTTCCTATTTCAAACATAGCCTAAATATCGCATAGTCGCCGATCACTTTTTAGTCGCCACACGACCCCTCGAAGTAGCCTAAATGGCTTGACTGATGATTTGACTGATGAGTTGCCAGGGTTGGATGGCCCTTATTTCGTCTCTATTTCTGGTTATATACTCGATGGGTAGTAAGTTCCAAAGTGTAAGCGTCCTCCCCGACTACCCCCACACGCGCGATCTATTTAATTAGTTTTTTTTGTGCGAAAGTAAAATGTCATGAATTATAAAAAGTCACGGAACAAAAGTATAAATATAATCCTGCAACATTGTTAATTTTTTTCAAATAACTCTGTATACGTAATAATGTGAAAGTTGAGTGTGAACTTACTTGGGCACGATGACGAGAAGCGTGGTAAGGTACTCGCTGTCGAGTATGAAATGCTCCTTCTTGACCAAGTCCGCCAGGTTACGGGTGAGCAGACTACCACTGTTGCAAATTCATAAATAATTTATTTATAGAAACACAGTACGACACAGGTTGTATGGAAATAACGGAATAGGTATAGTTTCACCGTATCCGGCCACACGTTAGGTATAGAAACATTTTGATGGTATATTGTAATAATTATTAATACAAAGATCGAACACTTAGAAAAATCCTTCGATCCAGCCGGATTCGAACTGACGTCTTTTAGCATACCGTGTTAGAGGCTATACCAACTAAGCCACGGAACGAATCAGCAGACCTCACGAATTTTTCTATGTGCTTTTGTTGTCGTGTTTTTGGTTTTATCAACGACTTTTTAGCCGTAGCGCCATCTATGAGAAATCTTAAGTATTTCGTCACTTAGTTAGATACCTTTACAGCAACCAACCCTGGCTAGAGATGTCGCTATTTATTGTATTTAAATTTTTATTGAACTTACTCCACTGGTCTGTTATAATTATTATTACAAAGATCGAACACTCAGAAAAAAAATTCCTTCGATCTATCGAGGAAAAAATTTTTCTGAGTGTACTGCCTTTGAACAAGTGTGCCATAAAAAGTTCCAGATAATAAATGATCCAATTACCTTAAGACTTAAAATTTAGTCGAAATTTGTGCAACCGAATCTAGGATCTTGAATACCAGGGTGTGTTTTTGAATGCAAAACATAATCCCATTGTTTTGATTGGTAGACAAGTGTGTGCAAAACTCACGTTTGTTTCTTCTCCAAGTTCTGTAAGTTACCCTTGAGTGCGTTGTAGGCTTGCGATTTGGTCTTAAGATCAGCATCGATCTGACCGCACTGTAACATAAATTGTACTTTAAACGAACAGTAACAAGATATAAATTAGGATAAAAAGAAAAACTGTCGTCAAAACCTTTTAACAATGGTCATAGCATACTGATATTCTGAAAACATGATTTTTCCTCATCAACATTCAGCTGGAAGACGTCCACAGCTAGACTAAAGCATCCCCCAAAGATTATTATTATAATGTGGTGTTATTATTATTATTATAATGGTCACCCAAAGGGCAATGGAGAGAGTTAGTTTCACTGCAACATCGATTCAGAAATGAGGATATCCACGAAACAAATAAAGTGGCAATGGGCGTGGCACAATGCTCGCAGAAAAAGCAATGAAGCTAAAGAGCTCTGGAGTGGCGACCGCGTACCGGAAGACGTAGCGTGGGTAACATCCACAAGGTGGACCGGTCCAGCCACAGAACAACAAATACAGTAGAAGTGCTTAGTTGGCGTGAGACGTGTGGCAACAGTGCGCGGAGTTCCGCATACTTGAGCTCAGTTCTCCATTTACGCTTTGTATGTTACGATCGTGTCAATTATTTCTCGCAAAACTTCTAAAATTGTAGAAAAATGCCTTATTTCGCTACTTCGGAGTACAAAAATAATAGTCGCACTTGTAATATTATCTGTGGTAGTGTTTCGTATCATCATTTAGTCTTATTTTATTTAATTTTAATAAATTTCAAATTTTCTGTTTATCGAAAGTAAACCTAATACCACTGCAATAAGGTCGCTTCTTTTTTGGACAACTAATTAACCATCTCGAGTTCGTCGTCGTTCAGCAATTAACCGCTAGATGACAGCACATCGATTGAAATTTCAATATAAAGTCAAAACGTCGTACCTTGTAATAATAGGTATTTAACTTTCAACGATTTTGCGAATTTGTTATTTCTTTTTAAATTAGAAACTACAACCAATCTTTATCAACATTAAATTACGAACGTATAAATTCTGGCGACAGCGATTCTGATAGTAATCGAGGCTTAAGACACTTGCTCTTTCGGCTAAACTGGTGATTATTATTATGTACCTGTTTGCTGATGATATCGGCGATATTGCGCAGGCTCTGCTTGATGGGATATTTGGCCATGTCCCATTGGAAGCGAGTGAGGTATGTTGGCAGATCGCCTGGAAATTTCATATTTCTTTACAGCTGAATAAAGATTCCACGACGCAATGTATATAGTTATGAATTCATGTTAGATGATACGTTATTGAGTAACTTTGAAGAGTACGGGAATAAAAATTCTAATATAATTGATTCATTATTTTTTATAGTTTCTAATTTGTTGCTAAATGTGTATGTATAATATTCATTACTAGAATAATAGATCTACTAATGCAACTATGCCAATTCTACTCGCTACCGCTACTTAACAAGGTTTAAAAGTAGGTTTGTATTCTTCAAAATTACTTTTTATCAAATATGACATAATTAGCTTTGTTTTTAGAACATTGTACCAGAAAGTCAATTAAACACTGAAAACAAAAAGAAACTGATACCAATGAAGTCTTCTCGAAGAATCACAAAATGATGAAATCAAATTTAATACTTAAAATTGTTACGTTGCTTCTTATTGCAATCTTTGGGCATGATAATCATATGGAAACAAGTTACATTAGCGTAAAAAACTTCTTTATTAGTTCGCGAAAATTTATAAATTTCTTTAATTACTTTATATCAAATGAAAAAAATCATCTATACAATGTTCTAACTAATCAGCAATTAATGGTTCTTAGTATAACTTGAATACTAAAACAACGTAACCCAAAAAAAAAAATCTGTACGTATATAACAGAATTAGTGCCGAACTGAAAATTGGAAGCAAAAATTAATTCTAGTCAATCTTAAAAACAATTTAGCATCTAAAAAATACCATGCAACATTCAACATTCACGGCATTGTTCATACTAATCTTAACACTATTCATGCAAAACATTCAATGTAACACATGCAAATGCAATCAATTGACCGAGACAATCAAAATGCAAAGCAAATGGTACTTATACTCAACCCTAAAACATTGTTATATTTTTAGAGGATACAGTATATTTTTCAATTTCGTTTGTCTTATGTTAGTTTACAATTAAATTCTGTTGTCTTCTGGAATAATTATATCTATTTAGGATTTAAATAAAAAAATCCAATATTTGTTAATGTTTTCATTCTGGTGACCCCGGTGGCCGAACGGTTTGCAGTGTGATCACTAGATCAGGTCTTGGGTAGCACCAATTTGGGAAATGAAAATCGGTTCTGGTCTGGGCGTTCTGGGTAATGCCACGGAGTGAATTCCGTCGCTCTAGTACTATAAGTACACCAGGACTTCCCTAGTTTGAGAAAAGGTAATTAGTGTTATTGTCTGACATGTTATAATTACGTTTTAAAAAAGTTAGCCCACTGCTGAGCACAGGCAGAATGAGAGAACTTGGGCTGAAGTTCCCACGCGGGCTCAACACGTATTGGGAACCTCACACACATCAATTATTTGCTTCGCAGATGTGTGCAGGGTTCTTCAGGATGTTTCCCTTCGCCTGCTAAAATCGAATTAAATTTCGCACATAAATTCTGAAAAACAGAGCTGCAAGCCGAGCCGGACTCGATCCCACGACACTCTACTTGAGAGTAGTACTATACTATTATTATATTATACTATTATTATTCATACTAAAATGAAATCGCAATAGTCATGGTATATTTACTTAAACTTCAAAGAAATAATAATAGAGTGCATAATACTCCATCAGAAATTCCAGAATTATTGTTTTGTATTATTTTTTTCTACATTTGCTGTGTAATAAGAATTATTTACTACGGTAGTGTATTTAGAAGAAAAGTTTTATTATTGTTAATAAGAACATAAATTTAATTATTCTGAGATTTCATAGGGAGATATTATCCACTCTATATTTATTACTTGCAATATAAATATACTCTGCCTAATTCGAGGTCTGCTAATTATGTACTCCAAATTTCCATTTACTATTCTCTATACTAATCCCCGTGCATTTGCCAACTGTTTATTTCAATTGCCATTCAATAGTCACTATAATGAAACTGGCAGCTTGCCAAAACTATCCTACTTAAAATATACATAATGGACATATTTAGAGGAACGCTAAAAAAAGGTCTAATATGCTAGCAACGTTCATACGTAGGGTGCACTATAAGCTTCCGGAATGATAAAAAAAAAAGTGGTCAGAAATGAATTTCTTGTTTCTCAAAATATACTCCGTTAGCGCTAATGCACTTTTTCATAAGAATGAACCAATTTTGAAAACATTTATGCCACTCCTCTGTGACAATCTCTGAAACATATTTTTCATACTCTTCGACAGCCTCTTCAGGTGATGAAAATCGTTGTCCGCGTAACTGATTCTTAATTTTTGGAAATAAATAAAAGTCACAAGGTGCCAGGTTGGGACTGTACGCGGGATGGCTCATAAAGTCAACGTTAAAAAATTCATTTGTCTGTCTGGCCGTGTGAGAACTGGCATTATCGTGGTGCAAGATGATACGGCGTTTTTGGTTATTTTTACGGAGTTTATAAATAACTTCCGGCAAACAAATGTTCGTGTACCAATCACTATTCACGGTACAACGATACTCCAAAGCAACAGTAGCCACGTGTCCAGTTTTATTAAAAAAAGAAGCAATCATCCGCTTAGAGCCACTTTGCACGCGCGCCACTTTGGTTGGTTTCGGTTCATCTCGAAAGACCCATACACTGGATTGCTGCTTTGTTTTGGGATCGTAACTATAAATCTATGTTTCGTCACCTATTACTATGTCCCACACCAAATTTGACGCCCCTTCGTTGAATCTGGTAAGCAAGGCATTGCACCAATTGACGCGATCCGTTTTTTGAGCCTCAGTCAAATTGTGTGGGATCCACTTAGAGCACAGCTTTTTCACACCCAAATGTTTGTGTAGTATTGATTGTATTTGACTCGTGCCTATGTCTAAAGATGCCCGAATGTCATGGTATGACACATGCCTGTCTGTTTTGATCATGCAGCGCACATCATCGATGTTTTTGTTGTTCATAGCAGTGGACGGGCGACCATCACGAAATTCGTCACTGAGATTCATACGACCGCGTTTGAATTCTGCAAACCAGCTATAAAATAGTCGTCTTGCATGGTGCTTCATCGCCAAAAGCAGTTTGAAGCCGAGCGAAGCTCCACTGAGCTGGTAAATTACACTTAAAGTCGTAGAAAATCATACTACGAAATTTTTCATGAGTTAAATCCATGGTGATGTAGACCAATTTCTAAAATGACGCCACAATGTAAAAACAAGTGACAGTCAGATAAAACAAACTGTATTCTATAGCTAAAGAGTTCCATTTTCAAATGTTGTAATTACTTTTTAAATATTGTTTATGTAAGTGGCCAGTTCCTGAAACTTATAGTGCGCCCTGTATATAAAGTTTTGGCCACATTTATCAGAACGTTTAATTTGAAAACAGAATCACTTAAATCGTCTTTTGATTTCAACTATAGTTCTGATATTGTCGGCAATGGTTCATATGAATATTGTTATCATAATCCAATCTTTTTTTAGCCATTCTGTAAATAAGTCCATGGGTGTATTTGCTGTCTAATTGGAACGTCATAAAAGCAGACGTGACTAGACACCAGACAGTCCATTATATTTTTATCGTCGCTCTTTGTTTTTGGTAAACGTGCCAATGGCTAGCATGGTCGATGGTATTGATCAATATCCCAAATGAATGTTGATTTATTTTTATATAAATTAGTGATGCAACAGACCTCTGTTTCTGCTTTAGGAACTTTTATAAGCGTTTTTTTTATGAGACCAAGTGACGGGACGAACACGCCCACGTGGTGGTAAGTGACACGTCTATCTATATATAACAATTGCAGTACCACTCAGCGCTTTAAATCACAAAGATCTGAGGGGCATTGCCACTGCGGCCGTCACCCTGGGACATAAACTGACATGTCCCATGTGCCTGTAATTTGACCAGCGCCCTTCAAATCAGAACGCAGTAATGCTCACACTACTGGTAGGTGGAAAAAATAGGTAAGGTGGCAGTACTTCCCTGGACGAACACTTTCACTTGGAACTCTAATGCTACTAAAAAAAGTTTTTAACGTTCGCGACGGGTCAGGCGCGCGCAGATTGCTTGGCGGTGGGGCTTGCGTTTTTAAGCAGTGTTAAGTGTAGGTAATTATGAAATCAAAAGCAAGCCATGTTTGGAACTATTTCGATTATTTATAGTAATGAACACTTGCTGTCCGTTACGAAGTAAAGATCTTTGACATTTTATGTTAACTTTTTTAAAAATTTTGTGTGACATTTTGTGTTACTAATTAATTAGCACTATTCCCAGCATAAAGTTCGTCAGTTGTTACGTTAATATTTGTTCAGCACAAGGTCGACGCGTTAATAGCTTTTACGAGACTTCCATAGCGCGCTGGAAAAAAGCACTAACTGAAAACTTGAAGAAAAATGTGAAATAATATGATTTTTAATTGATTTCTTAACAGTCGTTAAATTAATACGGAGTTTTTGTATACGTATTGGACATTAAATAAAAAAAAACTAAAGTATTTAAGTTTGAGATCACTTAACTGTTGACAAGGTCAAATTTGATACTATTGCACAAATGTTAACGTTATTTTTTTACAATGTTCAAAGTGAAAGTTATCATTGATAATTATCACGTTAATACACTTGACAGTTATTACATTGTTATAACTTAATATTTATGCAATGAAAGCTGTTTTTTTATAGTTATTCAGTATTGATAAAAAACCTACACTAAGTAATTTCTGAGCTGTTTGTTAATATTTTTTTTATTTCCTTAATAAGTATTTTCATTTTAAGAATTCATATGGATAATTAATTAGGATTATTAAGGATAATAAATATTTTGATAATTATCGAATCCTGTTTTTTAAGTTTGAAGTGAAAAATAGTTCTTTATCGCACTTAATTTTGTTTTCAATAAGGTCGAGGCGCGCCTATTGTTTCAAATGAAATTATAATGATAGCTTCCACGCTACGGATATTCGTGATTAGGTCGATGACAAAAAAAGGAATAACTTACGTTTTCTTGGTTTCCAGAAAAATATATAATATGATAATATTAAATGTACTA